AGAAAGCCTACGAGTTCAAAGTTAAGCACCCTGAATTCCCAGTTGTGCTTCCTATTCCAGAAACAGGAACCAAACTGCACCTGGAAGTGACTTCCATCCCCTCAGCTGGCCCTGCAGAGGTAGGCAGATGTGCTGCAGCAGAAAATACCAGGTTTGACCAGGGGAAGAAGTTTTGCAGTGTATTTTATCTCCTCTTACTTGCGCTTCCTGAAAATACAAATCACGTATTCACGTAATCACCACAAACATCAATTTTTTTTTGCTCTCAACTATGCGGAATATTAAAAAAGTACTGTTTAAAAAGAGTCAGAAACTAGAGTTTTAAATTTAATTTGAAAATGCAAATAGACAGGGAAGAGGAAAAATATATAAAGAAGAGGGTAGACCGAGTTAGATGGTCCATTAATTTAATCATTAGAGGATATTTCACTTTCTCTTAAAAGACCATTTTCTCTAACACAACCAAGTCAAGCAGTCATCACAGCTATGAGAACAGGGTGACTCTTATCTTGGGCTAAAGCCAGGCACCCCAAAGCTAGTGCCAAAATTTTCACCTGCTCCAGGAAAGGCAGGATTTACCCTCTGGAATAAAAGTATTGCCATAAACCGAGGCCAATACATAAAAACACCCTGTCAGGACTCAGGCATGCATTCCTGTCCCATGCACTTGTGGGGATGACTAATGCCGCGACTGCCTGCGTACGCGCTCTTAGCCTATAGCTCATACGGGCTGAGCTATTTTGTACTTGCCGCAACTCAGCCGACAGTGAAATCTGGTAAGCAGCAGTGACTTGATCATGTGTAGGAGTTTCTAGATACAGGCCTGCCCTGCAAAATTTAAACTCTGATCTTATTTCAAAGCTATAAAATCCAAGGGGTTTATCTTCCTCCCTTATGAAAAAAGCAGTTACTTCGAAGTCTGGGTCTGGATTTATATGCTGAATATCTTCCATATATAATAGAGTCTTTGATGGTGTAATTTATAAAAGAGAAAGGGATCCAGCAGCACTGCAGAGAGAACTGGAAGCAAAGAGTAAAACAAAACAACTGAGCTAGAAAAACAACTTGCCATAGGAATCTCTTGGTGTTCTTACATGACCAAGGGGAAAAGAGAGCACAGGGGCAATATCTGGTGATAGCCCAGCAAGCTAACGCTGCTGGCAGGCAGGGTCAGCGTGGTTTTTCTCTACAGTATTTGTAATTATTATCTTCAATAACAGAGGGATTTTACAATTCAGAAGTCTTCAGAGACTCATGCCTCTGGCTAACAACAGCAAGACATTGGCTGTTGAGGCGACAGGCTAAAGCAGGATGAGGGCACTGTGGCTGCAGAGGGGGGTGAGTGGTGCATGCACAGAGGGGCACCACTGTGACAGGGCACAGGCTTTGCACGCCCGAAGGTGCAAGGCCCAAGCACCGCTGCCAAAATACCATGCTTTTACTTTACTGTGCAGTAAGCAGTGCTCGGAGGACAGAGGTGCGCTCCCATCCAGTGACCTGCAGGCAAACGCAGTCAGAGCGAAGCCTGCAGAAAGATTTGCAGCAGTTTAGAAGAGAGTGACATAGTTGAAAACACAAGCAGCTCACACGCCAAAGCACCACAACTACAGCTAATGCTTCTTTCGTCCTGCAGTTTCAGAAGAGAAGAGGCTTGACTCTGAGGCTGTTTATAAGGGCTACGAAATCAGAAGTGCTCACATCTAAAGAGAGCTCTCTGTGGCGCTGCCAGCTCATGGATCCTTCCTGCACAGCCTTCAGGTGTTAATTTAATTTGAGCCCCTGCCTTTCATATATAAAAACATGGTGTGGAAAAGGAGGCGGCAAGCATGACTAGTGCAGACTTGGCTGCACAACTCCTCTGTTCTCCCTTTTAAAGGCTGGAAACCCATCCACAAAAAATAAAGAGAAATGAAAACATTTCAGGATCAAATCCTTGCTTTAAAAATTCATTATTATGCAACATACTTCAAGAAGCCCAAGGAAAAAAAGATTGATCTGAAGGAAAATAATTGTTCCCAACAGAAATCAATACTCATGGATTTTTCTGTGCTTCTATTTAAAGGAAAAAAAACACACTTACAGCTACAAGCTATATCCCACTACCCCTGCTCACAGCAATTCTGCTGGGCGTGAAAAACCCAGAGCATCAGTCTGGTACCAAGTTGTAACAGAGCAATAATCAAATGGTGCGTCCCAGTAAACAAGTCTGGATGGTCACCAGGCTGACACCAGGTTCCCCACAAAAAAAGACCCTGAGCCCACATCTTGGCCCCTGCAGGCCACAAACACACCCCCAACAAAAAACCCCAAAACCTCTCCAACAAACCCCCAGAATTCTGTGTAATTTTGATGTCAGTTGTCTTACAGCCTCTGAAAAGGCAACTGGTTTGTAGCAATTAACTGCTGGAATACTTAACTAGGGATATTATTAGTACAGGGATGCTGCAGCCAGACCTAGTACTCTCTAGATGAGGAAATGGTTGAAGTATAAAGCCAGTTGGTAGAGCTGTGGCTTTTTTTGGACACTTGTTTTAATAGGTGATGTAGAGCTAGTGTAGTGTAACACAACTCTGGAAAGCAGAACTGAAAATAAAAGACTCCAGCGTTCACTTAAGTTTCTGTACCATTCTGAGTACTTTTGCTATTAATAAAAGGCAGCATTTCCTGACCTACGGAGAGCGTTCATCAACCAGCTCCAGGACATGCTCATAACTGTTCCCCACAGCCCCTACTTGCTAGTTCAAAAAGTTAATTTTGAGCCTAAACAGCCCTGGCAAAAATCATAGACTGGTTGGGGCTGGGACCTTAAAGATCATCTAGTTCCAACCCCCCTGCTACGGGCAGGGACACCTTCCATTAGACCACGTTGCCCAAAGCCTCATCCAACCTGGTCTTAAACACCTCCAGGGATGGGGTGTCCACAACCTCTCTGGGCAACCTGTTCAGTGCCTCACCACTCTAACAGTAAAGAATTTCTTTCTAACATCTAACCTAAATCAACCCTCCTTCAGCTTAAACCCATTACCCCTTGTCCTGTCACTACACTCCCTGATAAACAGTCCATCCCCATCTTTACTGTAGGCCCCTTCAGGAACTGGTAAAAATGCCTGTATCAAGTTAGAGGTACCTCTTTATATCAAATCCATAAATAAGTTCACTGGCCACATATTATATATATCCATTAATGTAATTTTCATGTATATCAAAGTGGCCAACATGGCCATGATGGCCATGGCTAATGCTGAATAATCCAGCTACTAGAAGGGTGAGCAAAAACATGCTAAAAACTGGACTCCATACCAGAATTATCAGTGTTTTGGGGGGGGGAAGAGTTGACTTCAGGAGACAAACTAATACCAGAAGATAAACCACCAACACTTAGCTATGATAACCATTTGTGTAGAAAAAAAAAAAAAAGCAAGGCTGTCTCAGTGACAGTAGAAGAAAGGTGGCATTATTCATCATTAAAGCCTGAAAGTGGAAGATATTCACTGTGGTGCTTGACAGCAACTGTTTGGGATATGACAGATGCCACTCGTGACTGAGGTGGAAACACACCTGATGACTCCATCATGGAGACTGTGCTTAAGTCTATTCCGTTTTTAAAGTTCAAAAAATAAGTCGCATGCTTTACTGGTTCCTTTAAGAGATTAGTCTAATGAAGGCTTTTTCAGAGACAGGAGGGAAAAATCCTGTGATGTCTTTCTCCCTTTTCTGAGAAATGTCTGTGCAAGTCAAGTGCTCCTCCAGAGGCAGAAATACAAAGATGAAGGTCCTAACTGCCTCCATTACTTTGTAAAATCATTTTGTGTCCATGTTTTTGTTTTTTAAACAGCACAGCAGCTCATAATCAAATTATCTATTCAGGGGTCATTTTCATCATGCTTTGACTTTTTACCTCATTCCTCCATCTTGAAAAAACATTATTAAATTGCCAAGTTAACATACAGCAATTAAAGATTTGAGGAGACAAACCAAAAGCCAAGCTTGGAAACCTACCAACAGAGAATTATATTACCATCTTCTTTTAAGGAAGGGAAAAAAGTTTTAAGGAAATAGGATCAAACCCAATTGTGCTACATGAATTTAAGATAAAATTGTAAGGAATCACTTTTTCCTACTATGTTTTTGCCTCGATGGTTACTTAAAAGGGATACTGAAGGAAATACACTTTTCCCCCTCCTAACTCTGCAGTCAATCCCCTTTTAACCACCACTTAGCTGTGTACAAAGAAAATGGCTATGTCTGAATCTGGAGGACTCAAATTCCTTACAAGGTCTGCTAGCCATGGCTTTCAGAATCCAGCTCAGAGATCCAAATGCTGAGGTCATGTGAAAGTCAAGATTTGTTAAATAAATGCCTCTGCTGATTTTCATGGCCTCTGGCAGCGAGCCGGCATAACCCACATGCATGCCCTCGTTTGTTACCCAGGACAGGGCTACACCACCACGATGCCCCCAGGACTGCGGGCAGGGCCCAACTTGCATCCACTCCTTGTTCATTTTGTACCTACAATGAGAGTTTCTATTAAGGACAGAGCCTGTGCAAAACAGTCATCTGAAAGAAATGTAGTTCACATGCACAGACTGTTCAATGTTTTCCTCCTAAACTTATCAACAAAAACACAGCTAGAGCTTTCCACTACACTTCATTCTCATGTTGAAAGCTTTTGCTATTTTCTCATAGAGGGCTGGAGCAGCTTTATCCCACGCAAGACAACTACATTTCTTTGGCCCAGGCTGTTGGATGACTAATCGTCAGGAACATAACCTGCCAGTGATAAATGACCACTCATTTTCATGTGTTCAATGCTTTTACTTTGTGCTATCAGTGCAAATGAAACACCAAGACTACCACCATTTGTGCAACAGCTTTCACAAAACAATCTTACAAACGTACTGCAATATATGATAAACATTTACGAAACACTATTAACATATAGTTGACAAACAAGAAACAAGAGAAACCAAGAGCAAGAAGTGAGCTTACAGCTCCCAGATTTACATTCCTTGAGGCACATCATGAGGTGCAGGGTTAGGTGAGGCAATATAGCCGACTTGGTGCAGTGGTCCAGAACTTACAGCATTAGCAATTTGTGGAGAATTTCCATATGGTGGATTTACTGGATGCCAGGTACTAACATAGCGATAGGCAGGTACTAAAGAATCAAACCCAGGAAGAGACTGCTGGCTGAAGGCGTCCGACATGACTGGGTAATATACTGGCCCGTAGGACAGGGGCGGAGGCTCTGCATTTTGAAAGTTACCTTAAGAAACAGAACAAAATACACACACTTACCATATTTTAGCATATCCATGGTCTTTTCATGCAGACTGTCATTACCATGAACACAGTATTATTTTGGTGGCCAAAAGGGAAAATCCATTTAGGTGACAATTTTGTGCCCATATATATCCCTCCTAACAGAAGGGTGAAAATCCTAATGTAGACAGGACAGCTTGCTCATCTTCTCACTGAACCCTATTCAAGAATTGCTTAGCAGTATTGTGCATTGGAATGGCAGCTTTTTCCAAGAGGGACTCAAGTAAAGAGCTAACATATTCTTCCCCTATTTGATCATGGGACACTAATCTATGCAAAAGAACCAGCCTAGCTGAACAGGCTGAAGCTTTATCAGAGCAACTTCTCACAGAAGCCACCCCTGTAGCCCCCCCAACTACCAAAACCTTGCCACACAAACCCAATACAATTTCTCCGAGCAACAGTTTTGTTATGATCCGCTCCTTTCCAACACTGACCATTTGCCACACTCCACAGATTTTAAGGAGCTAGGCATCTGACATTTTTGACACTTTTTTCCTCATTTAATGTAATCCTCCTATTTATTGCCAAAGTGTATCTACAAGCTTGTTACAAAGTTGCTAGGTGAAACTACGTTTTGCTGTAAATTTGATGGACAGTAAGAGATGTGGCTAGCAGTAAGAGCTACTCAAGAGATAACAGCTCAGCATGCTGAGCCTAAACCCAAGGTTTACATCATCTTCCTTTTAAAAATTCCCGTGGAGTTGAAGTACCAATGCTCAGTGCTTGCCAAAACTCAACTGTCTCCTTTACTTTCAATACAAGCATTCTGGTTTGATACTGATTAAGCAACAGTCATGGTAAGCAAAGAGATACCTTCAGTTTCAGAAAAAGTTCTCCCAAGTTAAGGTTGGCATACCTACTACAGGCCTAGAAAGGATTACTTCTTCCTTTTTATGGCTTTAGAAAGCCCTTGACACATTAGTGGCTACGCCAGTGACTGTGGCATACTTTAAATAGCACCACAGATGGCAAAGGAACTTGTGATAACCCCTTACAAGGCTTTATGTCCTCCCAACCTCATGCGTCCTACAGGATAGCAAAGCTGCAAGCAAGCAGCTCCTATGGAGCAGTCATGCTCTGAAAACCTATTCCCTCACTTCTCATTCGTTGTCTGCGTGGTCTGACACTCACATACTAACCATTTGCAGGTGCTTCCAAGGGAACCTGGTGGACTTCAGTTCGCCCAGCATCGGTGTAGAGCTGAGGGACTGACTGATCTAGGACAGGAGCTGGCTCAGCATATGCTGGATAAACTTCCACAGGTGATGGTGGCAGCACGGGCTGTACATACACCATGGAAGGCCAATAGCTCTGATGATAATACTTTGAGAAAAGGAAAAAAAACACAAGGTCACACATACGACCACATACTCTCCATCCCTCCTCTGGAGCACTACTAGTTTCAGATCTAAACTTAGGAAGAAGTATGTTTTTTCCTCTTCCTAGACCCTTAAGATACTACACACACAAAAAACCCAATACAGCCTACCAGAACACACACTGTGGCAATAGCCACCACAGTTCCACATCACTGTTGTGTCAGCAATCTTTACAGAGAAAGAAGATTCCCACCTATCAACTCTGCCATATTCAAAGAGATTTTTCCTCTTTCTTCAGTTCTACTTCCCTGAGCAGCAGCACTGAGCTGCCCATGACTGCTGGTGCAGAGACAACTCTTCCGCAGAGTTCCCAGAACACAGAGAAATGGTGCTAACCCGTCTGAACACAGCTGTACAAGTCCTAGAAGACTCAAACCACACACCTCTAAGTAGTCTTTGATGTCTTGTCTAAGTACACAAATTTTCTTAAGAATGGCTCAGGTTCCTCCCCTTATCTTCACAGAAAGAATAATATTTATCCACAATCCTCAACAAAAACAAAACCAAACCCAAAAAACCCCCCCACCACAACCCAAAGTAAAACAACTCAACATACATAACAGTCTGCTTCACATTTTGAGTTAGAACTGCACTTCCTGAACTATACTTTAATATGCATAGGCTTGCTTGGTGGCGATTAACAGTCAAGTGCACAGGATGCACATTTAGCACACTTGGAAGTCTTAAGTAAATCAGTACATTTGTCAAGGAAAGCAGCAGTTTTTACAGGCAATTTACTAGACTCTTTTCAAAAGCACTTACTTGCAATCCCAGATTAAAATAATACCGCAAGACCTTTGTATCTGAAATTAAAGGATATGACATTGAAGAGCAGAAGAGTATAAACCAAGAAGCAAAAGCAATTTACACACATTAAGAGCATTTTAAGTTACTCTTACTTAATGAATGGGAGTATTTTAACACTACTTTTTCTTTAACATTTCAAGGGTAAAGAATGTATCTTGAATATAAATAGTTGTTAAAACTAGTTTATCTAAGTTAATCCAGTTAGATATTTGTGCAATAGTAAAACATTTGTCTGGCCAACTTACTAGCTAACCTCAACAATTACATTAGCTTTAATTTTCGTTTATTCATCTTGATTACTCAAGTGATAATTGTCAGTCCTGTTACAAGTCTCCACTGTCTAAGCAACTGAGACTTAAGTGATTCTGGCTTCCAATTAAGGTCAAGATTTTAGAGGAAAAAGTATTTTATCAAATAAGAATTTGATTATGAGTCCCTAAATTAAGTTGACCAGTAACAGCGCTCCCTCCCTTCCTCACTAGAGAATGGAAAGGGTTTGGAAGCACGCAGACAGACAGGAGCAGCCTTCCCATACACCTGTGACAATCCACCCCCAACGTACACACGTTATATACACGGTCCGCATACCCATGCTGGGCTGGCATGAGAGACAACGGACCAAGTCCATAGAGGCTCCAGCTTCACACTGCTTCTGCCCAGTGGGAAGTCTGGCTCTGCCACTCTCCATCTTCAGAGCTTTGTTGAGCAACAACCACAGAGACACGTCAATGTGGATAACATACGCAGTAATCCTAAGACCTTCTGACCTAGTTTTGGGGGTCCCCTCTATTCTTAAGTCAGAAAATGGGAGGGAGTGGGAAAATAAGGAATATGTTCCTTTCTTCCCCTTCCTCACAGCAGTACTCAGTTCCCTGCTTTCTTGCAAGTAGTCTTTTACTTCTGTCTTCCATATACTGAATAATTTGTCCCCAGGCAAATACATGATACACTGAGAAACAATTCCAGATGTGCACAGGAACTCTGAAACCACTCTCCAAGAACAACAGGGTTTCGAGCTTGGAAACTCATTTCCAACTGTCCAAAAAACAGTGAAGCAGTTTTAATCTTTAAGTTGACTGTTGAAAAGAAAAAAAAAAAAGAGAGCACGTGTTTTAATCTGATGATGCAGTTCTGGAACTGTACATGAGAAAAATTTTTGATTTCTCAGATTCAAATAGAGATTTGTTTTAAAGGCTCAGGAATAGCACGTCACCCATTCCACAGCAGTAGTTTTGCATGTGCACGCACAGGCACAGACTGTGCTTTAGTACTGCTGGGAGCTGAAAGGGAAAGCAGGGAGACAAAAAGGAGGGAGCCACTAAGGGCTTCAACTTAGCAGCACCTCCAGAGTTACCATATATACCACATTCTTATCGTCCACTTCCCCCTAGACCAGGGCCTCAGCTCCACGTTGCTTCCCTCTTCACCTTCTACCACATACACACTTTCCCGGCCCTGCTGTTCAACCATACTGCGCATTATATTTGCTGCAGACAGGCACAGTGTCAGAAATGCAAACCCCAGTCTTGAAATGCACAAGGATTTGTTCCTCTGCTGCCACTGCCAATTCTCAACTCTTCTACTGTTCAGCATATTTGATCAGGGTAACAATCCTCACAGCTATTTTAGGAAGCGCACACAGATCCTTCCTTACATCCAACAGCTGTAAGCTTACTCCTGAAAGTGCTGGCAATTTGGCTGTGATACTGACCACAGTCAGTGAAATATTAAAAATAACCCAAAGGCTTACATGAATGCAACTTTTTAGTATCTAGCTGAAACTGCATTTACATTTGGAACAAGGATTTTTGTTTTTTAAATCTGATTTTGTTCTTCAATTGTTTATGCAAATCTATGCAAAACAAGCATAAGAGCTGAATGAAACAGCTGCTTCATAGCAGCGATAACAGTACAAAGGGAGAGCTGGGAGACTGAAGTGACAAACTGATACTGGAAATACTGACGTCTGTGGAATGCTGGAACAGAAGCCAGTACAGTAGGAGACCAGTTTTTGTTTATATTCCTATTTTAGATGTCTAGAAATCAAGTCAATCTTCAATAAAACATAAGTACCTTATGAAGCAAAAACTAAGCCAAAAAAAGTTAACCACCCTGACATGAAAATGCAAAGACCACATTGACCACTGATAAAAATTTCATCTTACAATGCATCAGGCTGAAAATCATGACAAAATTTTTACTGTGCTGATGGGAAGCTCTGGTCAGTCCTGAACTCTACAGCAGTCTCTGCAACACAGCAATATCAAGTGGTCTTTTATCAACAGCTTCTTCAAATACAAGGGAGCAGGCACAGGTAGGACACCTAAGGTCACCATGTTATAAACAAGTTTCACAAGCCCTAGGCTCCATTAAAAAAAGATCCAAGAGACTCTGAAAAGAGGAACAAATGCAGATGTACCAAGCAATACTAAGGCAGACAGCAGGTTTCCCTCCCAAGCCCAGGACTTCAATCTGCTGACAAGTCACTCTCTCCATCTATACCAGGCCAAATACCAGGCCTGCAAGTATCTTTAGCAAAGAACGCTAGGTCAAGTATACCCACATACTTTACCCTGCGCTACTCCAAAGCTTCTGGTTTTCTTAACTTAAAGGCCATATAGACTACACTACAGCAGTGTGACAACATAAATGCTACATGTAATTCCTTATTAATTACCAACCTTAAATTTCTTTAAAAAAAAAATCTAGATTCTATGCCAAGAAAGACATAGCCAATATTATGTGGAGTGACTCAGCTGAAGAGCTATGGGCAGGGTCTGAAGAGGTTATTAATCCACATCCACTCCAGATTCTTGTCAGTACACTTAACACCCAATTCTCCCAAGTGATGAAAGCCTCTGTTAAGGGCATTCAACTGGAGCTGAAAACCATTAGCTCTGATGCGTGCATAGTATCATCTAGAGTGATGTTACTGCAGCAGAGAAGTGGAAAACAGAATATTCAAGATTAACAAACCCAGGAATTGAGAGCACCTGCGAGAGAGCAGAGTTACTGCAGAGCACATTAGCAGTACCTGGGAAAGCACCAGGCCTTTGAGCCATGCTACAGGGTTTCGGAACCTGCCTTTTTCCAGATCAACTTCTGACAAGACAAGCATGTTACATGGTAAATGCAACGGAAGGAATCCGTAGCATTTCAGCCCAAAGTTGTGCTGCAACCTACCACATGTAGCTACCCAAACTGTAAGTATCAACAGTAGCTCGTTATCTCAACTGAAATTAGCCCTCTAGAATTAGTACATTGAGGAAAGTCCTACACAGAGACAACAGAGCTACTTTAGGTGGTAATACGCTGAATCAAGCATGAAAATAACTTGCATTACTAGAATATTTTATGCTCCATCTTCAAGTAATAGATTTTTGAATCAAAGTCCAAAAGCTTTACGTTCTGATGCAATAAAAGCTACAACTGCCATATACCTGAAATACAGTCAGTTCAAGGATGGGGATTTTTTTGGGGGGGGTGGTGGTGGCAATAAAGTCAGCTATAGTGAGACTATGCTTTTCAAAACAGAGCAACAAGAAACAACCTTTAGAAAACTGAAGGTAGTAAGTCTGATAACATGATTTTATCTGCTGTATCTATAGATGGCTATTAGAATAAGCCAGCTATGATGCACAGACTTTCAGCATAACCAGTGTACAGGGGGATATTTAAAAAACCTGTGTACTTCAACTAACATGCACAGATATACCTGCTACTTGAATAACAAAAAACGTGAACAGCCAGTTTTGCACTGCTGCTCTTTGGAGTCCACTACAGCTTACCTCTAGGTCAGCCCCACTACTGCCAAAACCAACTCCCCCCATGCTCCCTGCCAGAGAAGACAGAATTAGCTGAAGCTATTGTACATGATGCAGTGGCAAAACGGGTAACCATAACTGAACCACAACTCATATTCAGAGCATTTCTGCTCCAGCCTGAGCACTACACATTAGGACAAGCTGAACCCTGCTATCAAGAGCAGGCTGAATAACCCAGTCTTAAGTTTTTCACCTTTAGTGCAATTTGAGCCAATGCAGTGCCAAAAAACTGAGCAAGGGGACATGCACAAGGTAAAGCATTTTCTACACCTCTCCAAAACTACACACAACCAACAATCCTTATCAGCTAAGACAAGACACTGCATCACAGAAGGGCTTTATCTGCCTCTAGGCATGTGCAGTGAGGCAATGGTGGCACGCCTGGGCCTCGCAGCATTCCCCACCTAGAGAAAGACAAGTTACATAGCGTAACAGCAAGCACAACTGTTATTCCTGTAGCTGAGAGGCACTTAGCTTGAGATAAGGGACAGCAGACAGCTTGATCTTTGGGTTATTAACGCTCTGTGAAAATACAGGCTCTATTTATGCCTTGTGAGCCATAAACATGGCAAAATGAGGGGATAAATATATAACAAAAAAAAATTTCAAATACATATATGTCTGTTGCACTGCTTACCAACCTCGGCTGTCTGAATGCAACTTTACATGGTGCACCAGTATTCTTAAATTGCAAAAGCAAGTTGACTGAAGATTACCCCTTTTGAAATGAAGTTCATGTTTAACTGATAAAGCTGAAAGCTGTTTCTGAGCTGCTCTGCTGGTAGGTACTGCGTTGGTCTTGGCACACTCCTTGCTTAATAGCTGAAATGTATCTTAAACACTGTCATAATTGATGACAGTATACGAAAAGACTACACACCCAAGGAACAAGATGACCCTACACTTCATCCCCGGTTTATGATACCACAGAATGACATCTTGGAGCCATACAGGAAAACATCCCACTCAACTGTGCAACAGCACAACTTTATAAATACACAGATTTTTTTTTTTTTTTTTTTAAAAATCAGTTATCACAAAAATGATTATTCCACTAAGAACCAGTATGATATAGGCCAAGCACTCTCTCCCTTGGTATTCTTTTCTTTACAATGCTCTCTAAAGCTGCAGTAATCACATATTTGAGTCAGATATGAACTTGCTATTCAGAACTGGGAATTTTTAGCGTAAACATCCATATTATTTCTTACTTCCTGCGAGCTGCAAAGAGCCATTTCTTCTCACTATAGGTATTCTGTTAAGTTTCCATGGAGAACACGAGTCAAGTGTGCAGAAGAGCAGCAGTAGTAAAAGCACAAAATCCCATCATTACCTCGAGGCAGATCACTGCCACTGGGATCACAAGAGTAAGGTGGAAGAACGGCACCAGCTTCTCCCACCTCACTGACTGGAGGAAGAGGAGCTGAATAAACTGGGAATGGCACTGAAGAAACTGCTACAATTAGAAGGAAACAAAAGTCAAGTCAAATTTGCAATGGCATGTCAAATGAGCAAGATGCCAAGTTACACAATTAAGCATGCACTACTGCATCATCTCAATGCCCCTAAACACAAGCTGTAAGAAAGTTACTTCTCGTTAGTAATCACTTTAAAAGAAGTCCAGAAGAAATTTTAAAACCAGATGGGAAGGTTCCAATCTCACAAGCCTTAACCGTATGTCTATCTGCAAGTTTCATATTCCGGTTAAGAATAAATGTCTTTTTCAATCATTTCTCCGTATTAGCAGGCAGGACAGACTTTGCTTATGTAACTGTCTGTCCTAGAACAACAGGGAACACACTAATCACTTGAAGTCATCAGAAGGGTGACAATAAGCTCACAAAAACAGGGGAAGGTTCAAGACATGTCAGGCCAAAACCAATTTGGACAGACTACTCTTAAACATTCATTAGGTGGCCCACACCTCTAACACACCAGCAGGTTATTTGTAACGGTATCAGTGAGTAGACAGTTCAGAGAACTGTGCTGACTAAACTCTGATGCACAGTGGAAAAAAACAAACCAAGGAAATAATGGAGAAAAGGGAGACAGAATTGAAGGTGGCAGATTTTTTTGGATGCTAACTGAAGAGTTACAGAGGACATGAGAAGTACTCTTTATAAGAAGGGAATTTTTTTTTTTTTAACATACATTTCACAAGAACAAAGTAGATATAGCATTTCAGGTGGTAAGTGCACCACATGACAAATCACAAGTTTCATCTCCTTGCACAGAAATAACTAAGCACAGGAGCTAAGGGCCACAAAAATGAATTGGACATTCATGCAGATTCTGAACTATCACAACCAGTGACTCTTTTGGAAGGGACAGTAGAGCCTCAGGAGCAATATATCAACTAAAGAGGAAAACTAACTGTAGGAAATATGGGGAGAAGGGATCTGCCATGAACTTCTGCCTTCTGAAAAGAACTTTCTAGCAAAACACTTGGCATTGATGGCTAAAGGTCATGAGGGGCAAACCCAAAGCAGAGACCTCCAATTCCCACACAAATTCAGGGATACCTGGTACCCTTCAAAACATGAAAGCAAGAAGTCAGCAGTGAAGTCGCAACTACAATTAAATCATTTTAAGCCCAAGCAAGTGATACCTTTTTTTTTTTTTTAAAAGCCTTTCAACATTTGCCTTGTATACATTGGGAAAAAAAATAAAATGGGAGGGGAAGATGTAACCAAAAACTTAAGACATCCAAGTCCATAGCCATAGTATGTACACTCTACCTGGCCTCCCTATAGAAAGGGGAGATACTATGACTGGCTGAACTGCTGTTTGTGGGGGAGCTGCTGTTGTGACACTGGCTGGAGTGGAGGCAGCAGAATTTGAGGAGAAGCCTGCAGCTGGAGCAGCATAAACACCTGTTGAGGTTGAGATTGCTGCAGAGTTCACCATCACCTGGAAAAGAGTCAGAGTATTCAGCAGACTGCTCTACAACTGGCTTTGACAAAGACTATGGAAACACCAGACAGTTCAAAAATTCTCACTTCACATAAATGCAGTTTTGAAGTCCTAGCTGTAGAGGCAGCTGTCTATCCCACTTCTCTAAAAACTGGGATGAAGATACCAGTTCAGAGTTGCAGACACCTGTGAGGCATCCTCCCACCAGTCCATTTTGCTTGTATTTATAGGGAATTGTATTCTTTGCTACAAGATGCTGTAAAGGGCAGGTAGAGGGACCCCAGAAACTGACACCAATCAAGCAGAGCGGTCACATCTCAACAGGGCTACCTCAATAAAGTACTAGGTACTACCTTCTGGGGATAGCTGTAGGAAGCCACTCCATCTTGAGGTGACACAGAGACTGGCCCTTCTTCCTGAAGGGATTCCAAAGCAAAGCATGGTCCATTTAAGAGGCAGAGAAGTCACGAGGCACACACACCACACCCCTAATTTTTTTTTTATTTATTTATGGACTACACACACACAGAGCATCTTTTGTAACTCAAGTAAAAGCAGTTTTATTCTGACATGCACAGGACTGGCTTTCACTAGTGACTGTAGACTAGTGACTAAAGATTTTGTTTCAGATTTAAAAAAATAATAAATTCCCAAGTCAGTTCTATCAGAGGTGAGCTCTCTCCAGTCCCACAGTGGGCAAGTGAGACTAAGTGAAATAGGACTTGAAGGGTAGCACGATAAAAGTGCTGTCTGGAGCAGAAAAAATAAACAGCACTCAAATGCATGCTTTCTCTTTGCAGAGGAAGGTGGAAAATCATTAATGTATCTACTACAATCCAGACTGTACTTGCAGACTCAGATAAAAACCTCACCATTTAGGGAGGAAAAGGAGGGTGAATATATAAATGAAGCCATCATTCCTTTCTTCCAAAGGAAGCCTCTGACGTACTATGTTAAGCCTGCATCCAAGGACAGTTTCTATGGCGAACGCCACACACTTCAAGGATTCCTCATCTGAGCAGACAGTGACTAAAGCTTACCAAGTTTGCTGTAGGTTCTGCTGAACTAAATACTGTTGCAGTTTCACAGTCAGGATCTGGAATGTATAGGCAAAATTGAAAGAAGTAGCATTAAATCTAATCCTTCAGAAACTTACAAAGAGATCATAATGAGTGCATTACATTCACCACGAGTTCTACCAGTAGAAACTAAAGTTTTGCTTACCTGGAGGTGCATAGATATATTCTTCATGAAATTTCCCTATAAGGGAGAGAACAGGAAGCTTTGATTCAGGGGAGAAAAAAAGCTTAAAGCTGAAGTTACCACAATTACATTTCAGTGCATCCATTAATGAGTTGCTTTCAGTATCATCTTGTTTTGTGCAGAAAAGGTAGCATCAAGAGATGCTCATTTTGTTACTCCACCAAGCATCAAGGTTGCCATTACCAAATTTACACCATAAATTTTTAGGCAGCAACTTGGCTTGCTACAGACCTACACAATCGCAAGGGTGATGGCTAGCAAGCTTAAAACAGAAGTGACACATTTCTATCAGACAACAAAGAAAAATAACGTCTCACATACATGTTCAAAGCTCATTTAGGAGATGTAAGGAACCTACTTTGACAATCAAAAGCACACTGAAGATCTTCTAAACTTGTCTTTTCACCTACTAATACTTTAAAAACTCACCATTTTCACTTGTTTCTTCTTCCTCCTCTGAGGAATTTAGGGTCTGCTTGTTAGGTGGAACAGAGTTTGGGCCTCTCCTTGCTACCCAAAATCCTCCTGGACCATGGACAATGGGAGCAGGGCTACCCTGGCTCTAAAAAGCAAAGTCAGAAGCATGCATTTAGAAAGAGTTTAAAGCCTTTCCATGCTCTACACACACACAGAGCGGAAACAGGCTGGCAGATCAAGCGTGCTGCAACCAAAACTTACTAGAATTACCATTTGTGAGTCCCTTCCCTATGCACCTTCACTGTAGCAAAACAGTTGCTGACACATTTCCTTCCTTTACCTTCCATTCTGCCTAGCATACTTAATGCAATTTAGTTTTTTTAAGACCTACCGCTGTCCTTTGCAATACAGTCAAGTTGCTCCCTCCCAGAACTGAGCCAGCTTTATCTTAAGCTCAAAGCTGAAAAGGAGGGAGCAGACCCCAGACAACAGCCAAGACTGCTACTCCCAACATATACTCCTGCGTTCCTCATCCTGGAGCATTCCCACCACACCAACAGCAGATCAGTTTATCCAAATAGTCTAATTATCATGGAAAAAGGTTATCTCTAGTCACAATTAGTGAAACCCATGGGTGGTTGCTGATATAGACACCACTGTCTGCACTAATTTGACCCACACATGCAAGACTTTCAGAGAGCAGCAGCCATCAAGGTTTCCCACAGGACTCCTTCAACACTTCACATGCCCTTTGTCTTTACATTGAAGTCAGTCCTTAGCTGCACCACAATTTAAAATACAGAGTTCTCTGAAGCAGGAATATAGGATTGAGATGCTCGAGTAAAAGAAGTTGATTCACTCTTTTGTGATGGCTAAGGTGACACTCAAAATTCTCCTCAGAAGACATGGTGACTATGAGATCGATAAAGTGCTCAGAGAGGCTTGTAAGATTTCCAAGGTTGAAGCAGAGGTGGTAAGTCAGAAGATTCATCCCACCAGGCCTCTAGTAGGATGGCAGAGTTTTCTGCGAGATGCATCTCTCCCCAGGAAATGTTATATTCCTTTACTAAACAAGACAAGGAAGAGACAGAGAAAAGGCTTTGGCATTGACAATAACAAAGTCACTGAATGAACATGAAAAACTATTCATCAGGAGCTGCAGGGTTATAGTATAGCAATGGGGAGGAAAAGATAGTAAGCTATATTGATTTCATGTCAGGAAAAAAATGCAGGATAATCTGTCCTTATTCCCTGACACTCTTGGAGGAAAATCAGAGCAAAGATTACAGATCTGGCACATGAGGACAAATTAAAAAATGGCTGCTGCTGAAACAGCCCTGAGCAGATTCCTCCTCTCTCATTTAAATACAAGTCTAATACTTGTTCACTGCTTCAACACAGTAAAAAAAAATTCAAACCTACCAGGGTTTTGTTTTTTTTTTTTTAAAAAGATCTGCTTTCCTATTCAGCTATGTAAATAGCAATTGATTTTGTGCAGCATATCCAGCTTTGTACTAGGCTTAGACTACAAATAAAGAGATTTATTTTGAAATTTAAGAATACACTGTGCCACTTTATCTACAACCCAACAGAAAGACTGTTTTAAGAGAAGTCTAGATTTAGAATTTTCTCATGTTTCTGTAGCAGAAGGACTGTTTCAGGAACAACATGCTAGCCCAAAACATCACAACTATAAAATCATAGGAACAATCCAGGCTATTACTATATAGTTTCTAAATCTAGTTAGAAAAATGATAAATTAGAGTGTGGCAAACAAGTGAAAAACTTTCTCCCACAATGTTTAGAGCTAGACAGACATCCACAGTAGGAAGGGATCTTTTTGTTTTTAAACTGCAACAGAAAGGAGAAACATAACCCTACTTTTATGAAAATATACTAAAGAGAAAGCAAATGCTGCCAGTGAGGGAAGGGAGAAAGAACGGGAACACTCAGAAAAATTGAGATTTTAAGCAGGTTTTACAGGATCTAGACTAATTTCAGCCTTCCCTTCTCAAAAAACACATTAACTGCTAAAGCTTATTAAAAAAACCACAAACAAACCACAAAACCCAGACACACATACAACTGTATATTTAACTAAAGAAGTGCTAAGCATTTGTACAGCTTCCTCCCCCTTTTCTCTTTGAGAGGTTTTAACATACCCCTTATTCACAACTTACTGGTAAAGTAGGAAAAGCTGTGTCATCCTCTCCTTCAATTTCATAGAAAGTTATAGTTTCTTCTGGTCCTTGAGGCTCCTCTTCATTCCCTGGTACAAACCCATACTGACATTCCTTATTCACACACTGCATCTGACGGCGGCTACGATTGTACGTGCTTTAAAAACAAGAAAGGAGGTTAAGAATGACCAATATCTGGAGTTTCACCTTGGTTTCATTGCTCAATCTTAACTTTGTTCCTTTTGGAGAGGCACAATAAACCCATTGTTTCACATTGTGCCATTAACAGCCAACTCGGCCCTCCACATACCACCATCCGCCCCAACTCTTTTAGAGCAATGTTTTGTAAAGAGTTTTATAGTCACTTACCAGGACCTGCAGGAGAAATTGTCATAGCTCTGATAACATCTCTTTCCTGGACTGGGGTAGAATGCTATTTGAGGGCCAACCATGTTGTGCCTGTTTATAAATCGGGCAGATCCCCTAAGTTTAAAGGGTAAAAGGTGTAATTACCAGGAAGTGCCTCTCAGATGGAACTCATTTGTAGTTTTACCTATTAAATAGCACAAACTCTCTCCTAACTAGTCTGCAGCAAGAATGAATAGAAAACACATGGTGATCTCAGACAGGTTTTCAAGGCTTCATACCTTGGCATCCCAAATCCACGGTTATGTCTCTGAGGAGGATTCTGAGGATGATAGGGTTCATAAGGTGCCATATTTCCACCACCCTGTGAGCAGTGAACTGGAGGAGAGCGCCCCGAAGGAACACTGTGCTGTAGCCGGGGTGGAAGAACTGGCTGACCCCTGCTATAAGCCACAGTCATAAAGACTTCCTTTCCACGAACCTTCTTAAGCATTCTCTTCCGTGTTTTCATATCCATTTCTGCAATTTCAGTTGAGGACAGAAAAGACAAATTTGCACCTTAAACAGCTGACTCCAGAGCTATGCTCTCTTTGTCATCTGAGAAGAGTCATATTTGGATACACAGAAAAGGAAGAGCCAACAGCCTGTACCTGGAAAAGTGCATTTTAAGTATGCAAACCTCAAAGTCTTATTTTGAAGGCTCAAGCGTGCATTCTAAGTTACGAGAATACAAGCATCTCACATGTGAATACCTTCCCAACTTCAGCTGACCAAATCAGTACTCCCAGTGTTAAAATATCTTTATGAAGGCTGCATTTATTTATTAAAAAGAAATCCTCCAAATTAAACAAATACAATCCATATTTAATTGGCTGGGGAAGCCCTAGTCTACCCATGCACCTCTGCTAAGGCAAATCTGACAAGCTTCCTGGTTCACAGACCCAGTCTTTATAAATGGTTCCAGGTGCCAAATTTCTTCTTGGTAATTTTGAGCAATACCAACTTCGCTACATATTTTCAATGGATTTGTTCCTTTGCAAAGGCAAATCCATCCCTCTGTCTGAAGGATCACTTTACATCAAACCCCTGCAGTGGCCAAGGTTTATATCACAGGCCGAATTAAATCACTTCCAATATCCAAAGACTGCTACTGTTAAAACTGTCCCGAGTGTCTCTTCCCCAGCCCCAAAGGAAGGAATGCTTTGGGAACCTTGTACAAACCTATTCCTGTGAAGTATCCACCTGCTATTTTCTGATAGGTTCCTCCTTTGCGGCTGGGAACCATATTCCAAGCAAGGACAGGCGCCACTTGTGTCACTGGTTTTAAGTTTGCCAAAGGAACTGTATGCCTATGTGAAAAAGACTGATGTTAGTAGTGCCACAAGAATACAGTGTGCATAACTGCACAACAACATAAGCTGAAGCAACACTAAGAAGAAAACAGAAAACACCACAAAGATAAGAGTGTAGGGAGCTTATGGAAATAAAAAAAAAAATCTCTGTCTCTGACACCAAGCACACACCACTGTTACTTGTTTATTAAAAAGGGCAAGCTAGGATTTAGTCTCAACACTACTGACTTCCTTGGTCAAGTCTTTCTTCCCTACATTTATATACCTTCAGAGGTACACCTGAAAGCACCTGACAACGCAGAATTTTTGCAATATGTCACCAAGCTGAATCCTAGGTTTGGACAAAGGCAAGTGCTTTGAACAGCAAAGTGAAAAGAGTGACTAGACTCACCAGAAGTGCCAATTATTTAGTTGTTTAGGTACAACATAAAAACTCCAGAGAAACCAAGAGCAGAAGGTTACTTTGCTATCGGTGAATTAAGCCCAAACTGCAAAGATCACTTTCACATTCCAGAGAAGAAAAAGGCAGCCAGATTTCACAGAAAGCATTACAAGAATGATTTTGGTCATTAGAAAACCAAGAGAAAAAGCTTCCTGTAACATTCTATTTGAAGAGTGATAGCCAACAAGAAAGCAAAGCCTCGCTTTATATTTAAAAGCGTAGGTTCTCTTTTCTTTTCAAAGTATCTTAACAATCCTATTTTAAGCATCTGTGAATATACAAACTCAACCAGAAAGAGTTCAAATATGAAGTCATCACCAGACTGCTTACTTTTCTGCCAGCTCCTCAACAAATACAGTCAACGTGTTGCCATCCTGTCCGACTTCCTGGATATGAGCATTGTAATACTTACCTCCAGGCTCCAGCCGTACCTGGAGAGAGAACAAGGAAAGCTCTAAAAAAGCCAAACTGTATCAGGGAATTCAGAATACTGTCTACAAACCACTAATAGCAAAGGCTGCTCCTAGCTGATCATATGTTACTGAGTTGGCCCAGGAGTCTCAAATACTTCTTCAGAATAGCAGGCAAAATAAAGAGCACTGTACTAATTTCAGTGAGGAAGAAAAAATAAAATAAAATCAGTCTTCTGAGTGACTGAGAGGTTAAGAAGGTATCTGCTTTCTAACTTACTGTTATACACTGTGCCAAGCAGGTAAGTACCAAGGAAGACCGCTATTTAAGAACTCAAGGAGAACAGAAAACAGGAAATTGGAAAGGTAAGCTCTGCTCAGCTAGAAACAAGTCACTGAGTGAATCATCAGCACTACCTCAAACAGTGATAAAAATAAGCCCTCACTACATACAACATTGGAACACAAAGAAAGCTGACCTTCCTTTCAGCATCTCCTGGCCAGATCATGCTACTCCTCCCTTTTTAGCTCTTCCCTTTCTATTTTATAAAAATATTTGTTACATTACTGTTGAGAAGCAGAAGACTGTCCAGACTTGTTGCTGACCCCCAGTGAAAAAATCTAATAGACAACTGCCTTAAATACATATCCTGTGCATTAAGAGCTCTCGGTCTGGAACTTCCACACTCGCACAATGTATATCACTGGTTTGCAATGAATTTCCAAGCAGCTTTTCCTTCACACTACTCAATGTTTAAAGGTAAATTTTAGAAAGAAGTTAGAAAGAAAGTCAGATTAATAGCTACCAGGAAGAGAATGAGAAGAGTCTTGGGAAAAGTCTATGAAGTCATATGATTTTATGGCTTACCATACTCCACTTAAAGCAATTTTAATAGTTTATCATAACTGAGTCTCCTTTGAGTACTAACCTGACACTTGTCTCCTAAATAGTACTGTCTCCCAGCAAACACCATGTAGTCAGTTTTTTGAAGCTCTAAAAATAAATGAATAAATAAATAAAAAGGAAAAAGCCTTTAAAACTACTGTTCTTTCTTCATGTATCCTACAAGCACTTCATGACAGCATCCAACTACAAATTATACACCAATTGAGTTAAATATTTCCTGTGCACATCTGAACATTCCCCATAGCAGTGGTGAAGTAACTGTAGATGTTCTTATAACAGACCAGAACCAGGCTAAGTCACAGAAGATCAAGAATATCCAGATAATGCAGTAAGTAGCACTACTACCTCAATACTACAATGTCTTTTGTGATGGTACCAAGTTAATCCTGCATTTAATACCAATCCTGGTATTAAGAATACTGGACGTGTCTTGTCTGGCCGGAGCACTGGTAGCATTTGGCAAAAACGACATGTTATCCAATAAAAACTAACACTGCCTAGTCTCCTTGCTGCTATATTTCAGTAGGTTTTTCTCCATTCCTTGCCTGGATTCTCTGTGCATCAATACTCTACATAGGTAATTAGTTACTATACTCTGTTCCAAGAATTTTAATGACCCTTATTATTGCTTATACAGTTGTAAAATGCTAGTGTTCTTCAGTATGCAAAGCATTTTTGGGTCAGACATCAAACACCACTGCAAAACCTATCTTTCTTGGTAACTTCTTATTTTACAGATCAGCCATAGTGTATGCCAAAAAGCAGCAACCTACCCCAAGCCACAAAGACCACGAAATCTCTCCAGAATGTTCAAGCCCAGGAGAGCTGGGAAGCAAGAGAAAAAACTCATCTGACAGATCTCAATGCTAAATTTGAGATCTTCATTATTATACAAGTCTGAAGCCAAAACTGGGCTTTAAAAAAAGCAGAAGTCCTTGCACACATGCTGTAACAAAAAACTCTCAAATTTGAATTATTTCCAATACAACAGAGTGGTAACAGAGTTCTGTACTCTGCTTTGAGTCCGTGTATTTCCTATACTATAGTCAATAAGCAGCAGAGGTCAGATTTTTTTAACAACCTTATTGCCATTATACAGTGTCAGAAGCAGCGTATTTCATACTTTGAAATGAAGCCAAGAAACCAGTTATGAGCAAGATGTGCTACCTGCAAGTATCTGCTGGGTTAACCAGTATCCTTCACATTTCAGCTGTGAAGAAACGGGTGACACGAGGCCTCAGATTCATAAACTTTGCACTGAGCCTAGTACAAAAAGAGTTGTTTGTTTTTCCCTTTCTAAAGATACCTTTTCTGCTGTCCAGCCAAACATCAAACTCCACATTTCGATAGATCTCAGGGTCCAGTGCCTTTAGCACCTTATAAGGAACAGGCATCTTTGATGGATTTTCTGGAGGCTAAAAACAGAGTTGAAATGGAGCATTAACAAGCACATTTAATTTGTTCAGCATAGTCTCTATCCTGCCAGCATCTGTAGACCATTTTAAGATGTACACACACTATTTTCCACAATTTTCATTTCCATTTATTTGCCTAAAAACTAAAGCTCAAGAATATGAGAACACATTTAGGCATTCAGAAGCTGAGCAAACAGACTTTGGAAAGGTTAGAAACAAGCTCTAGAGTAACACTTGGCATGAAGGAATCTAACCAGACCAATGAAGCCATGGCTTCAAAAGTAGGTGGAAAATTCAGTTATTATATATGAAGACAGGCTTCTATAGACTCTCTAAAACGGTTCCAAAGTGATTTATACTGCGTTCAAAACAAAAGTGAACTGATTTAAACCTTTTCTGGGAAATACAAACAGCAGACCAGGAAATATATGCCAAGCTCCATCTTTGGAGGAAAAAACTAAAAAATTAGCCAGAGAAGAACAAGAGACACTCAGAAAGAAGAGGCTTATCCAATTTAATAGAAACTCAAGAGCAAAACCAAAAGACAAACAGATGGAAGAAATAAGCCACCCACTTTCCACAAAATAATTTTTAAAAAGTAGAAAAGAGGGTTTAGCCTTAACAAGGGTAACATTGTACAAAAACAACAACAAAAAGAAATAAACCACCATAAGGAATTCATCCCTAACTGACAAACCTTTTCTTCTTCAATGCCTTGTTTGAACTTATCTTCCTGTGGATTGTCAGTATCATTGCCTTCCCAGTCATCCACTCTAAGTAATTGAAAATAAGATTACAAAAGATACAATGCATGATTTCTAGCCAGGATTAAAATCAACCAACTGTTCATACAATCTGAAAAAGCATCATGGTGCCATCAAGTGGTAGATTTTGCCTTGAACACTAGACATAGCTGCAATGCAGTACAGGACAACTCTTTTCCTAGTTTCAAGAACATGACCTTTACCTGTTCCATTACCCACCCGAAACGAGGGCTACTATTTCCATTAGGAAAGGATGAAGATGATCCCACTGCTTAAACTCTTGCACCATCAAGTACAAGACACCCTGTTCTAAGTCCTACCAAACCAATGTCATCTGCAAGCATTCCATAATGGTCAGAGGCAACCCTCAAGCCTTTCCAGTGGCTTGAACAACACAGGATAGGAGGGTTTCTATAGGTACATTTTGTCTGTTCCCCTCATCCCCAGTGATCCAACAGACTTGAATAATGTCACCATTTAATTGTCTGTTTGGGGTACGATTCCATTAAAAAAGGACAAATGAAAAAATAAAGCAGAGCTCATTTTCTCTACACACTATTGCCTCTGCAGAACTACAGAGGCTTAGAAGAGTAGTAAGCTTCTTGCAAAAAAAAGTTTGATGACATAAGGAACAGTTTTATTTGTAAAATGACAGCTTATTTGAGAGTAACATGCAACTATAACATAGCCAGCAGCAGAGGATGTTCAATTACGTGACACTTCTCAGCTCCAAGGAAAGCACACTCTCTTCCACAACAGACTTCAGCTTTGTGTTTGTGTCATGAGATAGGAAAACAGTTAATACCCCACAAACACGCAAAGAAACTTGGAAAAGTTGCCCTTTGCAAAGTTTTTTTGTTGTTTTGGTTTGAGGGTTTTTTTCTTCCCTTTTACCACAACCCCTTCCCAAAATACTACCTCTTTTCTGATGGATTTCGGGATACTTTTTCATGAAGACAATCAAAGTTTGCATCCTCATTTCCTACAGAGCCACTGTTTCTGTTCTTCTTGGATCCACTTCGAAACACCTCAACTGCAGACCTTAATTCTTCCTCATCCATGCCAAACACATCTTTGTACAGGATCTTGTATAATACAGCTGAACAAATCAACACAAAGCTCAAACCAAATTAAGATAACACCAGACCCATAAGAACTGCTGCAATTTTTAAGGTAAGCATATCTTCAGATATTATCTATTGTTACAATGCACTAGTTATATTAAATTCAATTATGGAGAGGATTGTAAAACAATTCAGGTGGGAAGAAGGGACCTCTGGAAGTCATTTGCTCCAATACCCCACTTAAGAGATAGAATAATGAGTGTATGTATATATGAATATACAATAAATAAGCTTCCATCTCCCTCCTCCCCACCCCTGAAAACCAAAACAAACACTGCCTATAAACATATGAAAACACATAATTCTCTTCCATAGAAAAATTATTTCAAGTTTACCCTGGCAAATAGCAGCATTTTCCTGGAATTGTTTTGTATACACAGAGTCATAGTGGCCGTTGCCGGAACAACACAGTAAAATCTGGGAAAATTAAAAAAGGCAGGCTTTAAGGCTAGAACGATATAAAACCTCTTTGGTTAGCTAGATATCCTAGCTCAAGACTACATTATTCTTTCATTCTATAGTTGACACCAACTGATCAAGAAAACAGTAAATATTGTCAATATAAATATGACAAAGCTATAGAATCGGCTTAAAACTGAATCATAGGTAAAGTCTCTAAATAAGTTTTATTATACAAAGAAAAACTATCAATTTGTACATCATGCTGTATTAAACATGAAACGAGAGTTTGTTTCCAGCTTACCGCTGAAACCACCAATTGCTCAAGAGGTGAAATAAATACAAGCCATTAAACGCAGTACCCCTGAGATACACTGTCCAAGTATCAAAGGCACATTTCAGCCTTCCCCACCTGAGGGACTAGAAGAGCATCTACTTCTCTAGCCCTCAACAAGCAGTATTATGCTGCCTTTTGAAAAAGATGCATGCTTTCTGGAACACATGCACTGATACACCAAGTCAATGTATACCATCAAACCCCATCTTGGCACGTGACCAGAGCCAACTGCAACCGGCAGAAGCCCTTCGGCAGCTGTCAGCACATTGCCAGCAAGGATGCTTCCCAGTGAAGCAGCAGGAGCTAGGATGCCAGGGCTCTTAATTCAGCATGCAGTATGTCTTTTGCCAACAAAAGCTCCCATCTCATGGTGAGAATGAGCAACACCAGAAAGAGCTGCTGCCTGTACATGCAGTCTAATGACAGACAGCTGCCAACACTTAATGAGAGCTCTGGTGGTAAAGCCTTCAAGGACAAACACGCACTTAGACCATACTGCTTGATTTTTAAAGTTAGCTCATTGCGGAATTAGATTAAGCTACACAGGAAACTACATAGAAAAAGAAAGAAGTGCATGTAAACAAAGACAGCAATACTAACGGACAGAGAACAGCTGCAGCAGCACAGATTTCAGAGCAGACTAGCCACTTTGGCAAATATAATAGCCCATACTGAAACCCACACTGCAGCAACTTCGCTGGCACCATGCCTAAGCTAGCCACATAACTGTGTGGGCACATCTACATGACTGCAGAAAAAACAAGAGGGGTCAGATGGGAGGCAGTACAGAGTATTTATCCTTTATGTTCCTTCTTTTTGCACCTATCAGTAATTCTTGTGTAGATAAGCTGTTCCATTAGCTCCCATTCTTAAATGGGCTCAATTTGTATGTTGTAGAAATGAATCAGTTTGTTAGATTAATCCATTTGCATTAACTTCCCCTTTCAGGAAGGAAAACTGCACACCTCATCTGACTTCAGGAAGAGGGATACTGGAAGTGGGGGGAGAACACCACCTCTTCGCCAATATGATAAATACATCTTGTTATGCTCTTCAGCTCAATCCAGGTATTTCATTCTACCCTGTCAGATCAAATTCCCACTGGGAAGTGTTTTTACCCAAAGAGAATTCAGAAGCATGAAACAATATTCTGAAATTGTGATGTTACCTCTTCCTACCAAAATTAAACTTTCCAATAACGAGCTGGAGTAACGAAAGAGATTGGCAGAGGAACAGCACACAATCAATCCCTCAGATGGGAAGCAAAGCTACTATAATTGAATTGACTGTTGAGCAAATACCGTGCTTTTTCCAGGAGCTGAAGTCAGCTTGGGGTTTTGCTCAGGCAGGCAAGAGCACTGCAGTTACAAGGGCTCAATTCCAGCAGCAAGTTTTTACAACTAAGCAGGACTGAAGGGAACTGTGATTCAGGGGTAAGAAGTTGCCTCACTTCTCCTCACCTTGCCTTCACAGCCATTGTCTGTAGCATAAGTGGGTGGCTTTCCAGGGTACCGGTACAGAATGAAGTCTCGCCTAGGCAAGCGGAGGAAAAACAAGACTTGAAAGAGCACACTTTCAGTAGAACTACGTTATGAAGAAGTTTGCAGGGAGCTGTTTAGAAAATCCGCTGTTGGTTTATAGAAAAAAATCAAGCAGATTACTTTTCCTGATAAATGTTACCACACAGCAATAGCTAAACGAGCAAATAACCTGCATCTGAGGGGAAAAAAATATCTGGGAAAGACCATTGTATTTAGTCACAGATAAAGACGTACCATATTAGGTCAACTACATATGCTTGTGGCAGGGTGCTCGGACACTGAGACAATTAAGACTAAGTGATTTAATCACCCTGCAAAAGGACTAGAGCCTCAGTACAGCGAACTAGTAACTCTTGCAAAACTTCAGTTTGTTCCTTTAGTACTGGAACAGAATGACCCTGCAAAGGGAGCATTCTCCCTTCAACCACTGGAGAGCCAGACCGCTTGTTAAACAATAGTAGCATTTTTAGCAAGACAGCAGCACCTGTGCAGGCTTCCGTTACCTTTGAAATAAATATCAGGGTTTATGCACCAAGTAGGGCAAGCGCTCCTCACTACTAAAGCTTTCAAGAACATCTACATGAGTTCTAGTCATGCTTATAACTACCACACAGTGTTTCCACTACACACAGCTTATTTTTTTTTTTTTTTCAATTTTCGATCCTTCAGCCACTAGAAGAAACACTTGACTTTGGAATTTAGCAAAAAGATAACAAATAAACATTGCCAGAAACAGACCCTCCCCTTAATCCACACTATGACAATAACAACTTTGCTAGGGTAGCATTTCTCACCATGTTTCACACATTAGTATCTCAAACAGAACCCAAACACCATCAAGTCCAAAACAAAGTGAAACTCAAGAAAGAGACACTTACTTGTACATCACTGATAAAGCACTCATTTCCAGCTGGCCAGCACTTTCCTATGCAAGATTATGAGATTACATGAGATAGCAGAGCTCTCTTCAGCACTGAGAACTCTATTCTAGCTGTCTGTAGTATTAAAATATCTCAAACTCATCAATTTGTTAAAACAAACAATAAACGCAGTGAGAGTTGAGATGTTAGGATTTCTGGGGGTGGAGAAGTCTGCAACATGGGATGGCCATGATTACCAAGCTGAGTAAGATGGGGCTTGTTCTGCCAGTGACTCTTAAACACACCACTCAAGACTTTTTTTTTTTTTAATTAAAACCACTACATTTGTTTCAGAGACTGCTGCATCCGTCATACTTATTGGTTAAAACCTAAAGAAATAGAAGTTTGAACTCTAGTATTCGAACCTGGGCGTAAAGGAAGAAGCAAGGGATTGCAAAGCCTGACAGGCATTTGATGTGAGGTACACTCCACATATTTTGCTTTTTCCTTCTTAGGAAGGATTGCAATTACAAATAAAGCCCACGAGAGGCCTCAGCTTTACTGCCCAGCCTGCAAAGATCGCTCCTTTGCGCCAAGACAATTCCCCACTAAAATTGATATTATTTATACACATGAATACCCAGTACAAACCTGTAGTATTACCTATGCAAAAAGAGACCCCAGGATTGGAGTCTATCTAAAAATAAAAGGCCAAACCACCATATTTTAAACCATCACCTAATTACTTTCCTGTTCCAGTCTCCTCAAATTTTCATCGCTTGACAAGTATCATATCAGTCTTACCTTTGGATCTCCTAGTCGTTCAAGGTATTTCTCAAATGATCCTTCCACATACTTTCAACAAAACAAAGAAGAAAACAAATATAAAAATGTAGCCAGTTAGAAATCAAAGTTAAACCTAAACACTATGCCGTATGTTACTAGCTGTTGAACAGAAGGGGGGCAGGGGGCATAGACACCAAATTTGGGACTAGTCTGCCAATTCCTATCATTTTGGGGTTCTGTGATCTGACTGGGGGTATGACTTCAGCTGTTTCCTGCCTTAGAGCATGGGAATGGTTTGGGGTACCAATGTGGAAATACCAAGAAATCCTTAAAAAAAAAAAAAAAAAAAGTAGAAGTCCAAGTAATAGTCAGTGACTCATGTCCTAGATTAGATTAAGCACTTAACTGCGCTTATAGGGGAAAAAAACACAAAACAAAACAACACACACACAAAAATAAACCAAAAAAACCCCAAACCAGCCCAAACCCACACAAAACACCACACAAAACCACACAGCACATGCACCCACACAAAAGCAACCAGACACGTACCCCCAGCCCCCTCCCCAAAAAACCCCACACAACTTTATGCAACAATTAATCGCTCTGGAGTTTTCCACCATCTTTTGATGTTCACTTCTTACTTCAAAATCCTACATATTTCCCACCTACTAAATTCCACAATGTTTGCTCCACAGAGAATATACTACACACATAACTGTCACCCTACTGGTTATTTAGGTATTAGTAACTTAAACGCTTTCTGGAACTTCAGAAATATGAAGTCAACTAAAACTTGTGTGATTGCAACTCAAATAAGGTAAGCAAGCAATCACCCTGCCATTTCTCTTCTCTTAGATGCATCAAGCCTGGCAAAGCATGACATGTTTTCAGTGCACACGTTTGTGTGGATATGTTTATGGCTAAACCACTCACCCCCTCCCACCTTACTTCCTCACTACACGTGCAAAACTGCCTAACACACACACATTACTTACAGATTCAAACTTATGCTGGTGTTGCCTCATAAATGAGACACAAGCTTTCCTAACTTCCATGTGATGAATTTGAGATGAAAACAGCTGAAAAAATAAAGGTTATGAAAGAATGAAGGAGAAAATTGCAGAGTTTAACTCACACTTCACCTTAGGCTTGTTTTACTCATAGTTTATTAAGACTAACACCACAAAACAGGGAGAGCAGACACTGCAGATGGCCATAGGCACTCGGGGGAGGAAGCTGAGGAAAGCCCAGTGACCCAGGACCCTGCCAGCCCAAGGGGCTGATCGCACCCGCCCGCGACACCTCACTTCAGGCACCCAGAAACACCCCCGACCCACCGCGGC